TTCTGGGAGTTGAAGTCCACTCATCTTAAAGTGGCCAAGTTTGGACAACACTGCATTAAACCAAAGTATAGTTATGATAATAGCACAGCCACTGTGTTTTCCCAAGATTTAACTTTTAAAAGAAAATTAATTTAAAAAAATAAGAGAAGAAAGGTCATGATACAATTGAAAGAAGAACTCTTCCCAATTTCTGTGCTGGGTTCCGTTCTCCTAGATTGCAGATTCTCTGGGCAAGAAGTATCACTCTAGTGAAGCAGGCATTATACAGGTCAAAGCCATCATATGCTTTGGTTCTGGCTGAGTCCCAGATGTCAACCGGACAGTTTTGGTTGAAACAAACTATGGTTTAATGCAATTGTGAACTGAGCCAGTCCATATGTTAAACTGTAAATTACTTACTTGTTAGGTTAATAAACTATGGTTTATTAATCACAAAAGTAGGTTCACACAGGATGCTGAGTCAGAACAGAACAAAACACATTATTGGATAGCATAGCGTGAGAGCCCAGTCATAGATTTGGAAGGGACCTTAATCTGCTTTGATAAAATATTTGCTGTGATGGTTATGCAACATAGGTCTTATTGACACCTGATAACGTTCATAAAAATACATTTTTATCATTGTATTTCGGTTGCTTTTGGATTGTGTTTTAAGCGGTAGAAACTCTTGTTCAAAGAGTTCAGACTCAGTTAAGAATCAACTTAATCATTGCCAGCACAAGACCTCTTTCTCAAGTTACAGCAGCTTTCTTTGCCTTTCCCCTCATCATAATAAAAATGCTCAGTTTTACTGAGCAAGTAGAGAGATGGAACTTTCTCGTGATCATTACATTTTTTAAAAAAGAGAGAATCAAAGCTTTACTTCCAAATCTGAAAGAGGATTTCAAGAGTCACCCCAGCCTCTGGAGTACATATATAATTAAGTAGGATTTTTTAAAGCATGCTTAATTAGGCCCCCAAAGTCCCCCCCTTTAATAGACTCCCCCATCTCTTCCCAATTAGACATTACTTTCCCAGGGGACTCAACTGGTTCAGTTAATTATGCAAATAAGGTACGTTCTATTCCCAGGCAAAGAATTTATGAATATTTGCAGAAAACTGCAACTCTTCCCCTATAAAAGAGAAGAAGTGCAATTGTCATATTTGAAACCCTGAAAAAAAGCCCAGATCAGGGAAAGAGTTGTTTAAAAATTATTGGGTTTTGATGTCAGTATGAGAACCTCTCTACATGGTTCTTGTTATTTATTTTTTTTAAGAAAGTTATGAATTCAAATTGAAGGCAATGGACATTTAGTGAAATGTGGCAGTATTTGTCCAACAGGACTGAGGTGTTAAAATTTTATCCTAAGCCAAGCTGACAGATCTGGAAGAAAAGGCTGATCAAAATATGAACTAAAAGCTACATGCTTTGCCTGTTGCAAGGACACTAGGATTGGAATAATTCCTCTTTTTGCTTAGATTTAGCCTTTTAGAGGAATAGCACCTAACACTTCCATTTTGAAACAAGGGCCTTGGTTCTATTTATTCATTTGATTCCACTTAGAACACCGCCCAACTCCAATTGACTATGGATGGCTCCCAACATAAAGCAATACAACAAATACTGTATATAATCCAAAGAACATAGCAATAAACAAGATGGCACATCTGGTCAACTACAGATATGGTACACCTGGCAAGTGATTCCATCCACCCTAGCCCAAAGCCCCTGGGAGAAGTGCCAGGTCTTTAAGGCCCTCCAGGACATCATCACGGTGGGAGCCACCTGGATCTCAGGGGAAATCCCACTCCAGAAGGCATGTGCCATGACAGAGAAGGCATACTTCTGAGGTTCTGATAGATGGCATTGTTTAACTGGAAGAACCTGGAACATGCCAGCCCTGCCAGATCAAATCATCTGGGCCAACAGCACAGGAGATAGGTCATCCCTCAAGTAACTAGGCCCTATGCAATATAGAGCTTTGTCAATCATAGCTAGTACCTTGAATCGCACCCAGAAGCAAACCGGCATCCATTGCAGCTCATGAGTCAGGAGTGCCACATGGGCACACCAAGGCATGCCCATCACTGCCTACGCCACTGCATTCTGGACCATGAAGCTTTTGGGTGGTCTTCAAGGACACTGGAAGAAACTCTATAATGGTAGTTTCGTGCAGTGGTACGCAGATTCTGCTTTGAATTAAGAACTTTCTGTTTCAAACTTGACCTGACTGTTTCCAAAAAGGACAAAACAGTCTGTTTTCAACGTGAGGCAGACCATTGCCATCCGACACATCTGGAAGGCACCAAGTTGGGAAAAGCAATTTAAAGTTAACACTTTGATTAGCACCCATATTACACCCAGTTTCTAGTTTATAATGAGCAATGAGTCATAGGGAGGGGAGAGGTTTCCTTCTTAGGCTTAACCCCAGCTTCTTCTTTTGAAAGTATCTTCTCAAGTTGTCTTAAGAAAGCCTCACTGCCATTTTCCCAGCTTGAATTTAGGACGTGGAGCACCTTTGGTGTTTCCAATGTTACTGAATTAACACTGGAATTCCCAGCCAACCCAGAGAGCATTGGCCTATGGTGAAGGAAGCTGGGTTTAGTAGTTCAGCAATTTCCAAAGGATTGTGGGTCTTCAACAACACTTAACTGATAGTGTCATGGCCAAATCTACCTGCAATACATGCATTGCACTATTTAACCAATATTGTCTTATCCCAAATTAATGTCTCCTTTTCTAGTCTAAATCTGGAGTTGGTAGAAGTCATTCCCTGGTTCATCTGTGTACAGTTTCCAGGACTTGCCCAGTTTGTGAAAACAATTGATAATGAAACATCCAGAAGCTTTTGAATTGGGAAAAAAATGTTGAGTTGTTTTTTTTTAAATCTCTGCCCTGCACTT